GCCCGCCCCCCCCGCATGTGTCCCCCCCGCGCCGCCGCTAACCCCCCCCCCATTAATTCCCCCCCGAGTTAATTAATAACCCCCCCCGCCACCACCCCCCCCGCGCTCCGGCCACTGCGGGGGGTAGAATTTGGGGAGGGGGCAGAACCCGGCATGGGGCGGCCCCAGAGGGGGTCAGGGGTCTCTTTGGGGGGGTCCTGGAGCCCCCCCAGCACCCAAAAGGGAGTCCTGGAACCCCCCACCCCAAAAATGGGGTCCTGAACCCCTCCCCCAGCACCCACAAAGGGGTCTCTGGTCCTCCAGCACCGACTGGGGGGGGGTCCTGGAGCCCCCCAAAAAGGGTTTTGGACCCCCCCCCAAAGAGGGGATCCCCCCCACCCCCGGCGCAGCCCAAGCAGGAGGCGGGGGGGGAAAGGATCCCTTTAATTCCGGCTGGGGGGGTCCCCGCGCCCCCCGTGTCCCCGTCCCCACCCCCCGTGTCCGTGTGCACGCGCGTGTCCCTGTCCCCTCCCCTGTCCCCTCCCCTGTCCCCTCCCCGTGCCCAGGTGTCCCCCCAGGTGTGCACGGGGTGGGGGGGGGCCCAGGGGACACCCCGAGGGTGGCAGTGACGGGGGGGGGGGCGTGGGCTGGGTGTCCCCAGTGTCACCCGCCCTGGGGACCCGGGGGTGGCAGTGCGGGTGGGGGGCACGCAGGGTGTCCCCAGTGTCACCCAAGGGTGACAGTGAGGGGGTGGGGGGTGTGTGGCACTTGTCACCTGCCCTGGGGAGCCCGAGGGGGTGGCAGTGAGGGGGGGTCTGCTCAGTGTCCCCAGTGTCACCTGCCCTGAGGTCCCCAGGGGAAGGGGACATCCCAGGTTGGGGGTTCCCAGACCCTTCCCCCCCTCCCCACCGGTGGGGACATGCCCATGGGAATAAAATAAAATATAAAATAAAATAAAATAAAAAATAAAATAAAATAAAAAATAAAATAAAATATAAAATTAAATTTAAAAAATAAAATAAAAAATAAAATAAAATAAAATAAAATAAAATAAAATAAAATAAAATAAAATAATAAAATAAAACATCCCAAAATCGTTCTGGGCAGCCCCAAAATCTTAGAAAATGGAATAAAAAAGTCTCCGCTGGGCAGCTGCGGCCACACCTGGGGACAAGGGACAGTGCTGGGCACCGGGGAGGGGACACCCCTGTCCCTGTCCCTGTGCCAGCAGTGCCACCTTGGCCCTGCCACTGTCCCCGTCCCTGGAGAGTGGCGGGAGTGTCCCGGTGACATCCCAGTGACATCCAGGAACATCCAGGGACATCCCAGTGACATCCAGGAACATCCAGGGACATCCCAGGACATCCCAGGGACATCCCAGGGACATCCAGGAACATCCCAGTGACATCCAGGAACATCCAGGGACATCCCAGTGACATCCCAGTGACATCCCAGGGACATCCAGGAACATCCCAGTGTCCCCAGTCCCCCAGCACCCCCAATGTCCCCCCCTGCCCCCAGTGTCCCCACTGTCCCCAAT